ACAAGTGCACCATGTCGCACTCTATAAAACACCTTGGAAATAACTAGAGACACTAGATAAAATTATGAGGGTACAGTTGTATATAGGCTAGTTGAAATAGTGGACCGATTTCAAACATTTTTAATAGGCTTGGGCCTAAAGAAATTTCATCAAATTAACTTAAAAATTGCGATCAGTAGAGTGTGCACAAATTTTACATGGACACACAATAACATTTTTAAACAAGTAAGAAATTATAGTCGGGCGAGGCCGATCATATAATACCCTACACCTTTGACAAAAATATAATGTGATTTAGTTGCCATAATAAAGCATTTAAGTTGAATTGTACCTTGCCTTAGATATACATACTTAAGCCGTTTATTGTTGAATAAAATTGTGGACATTTAAGTGAAATTTTGATGGGGGCTTTTCATAGGGGACCCTAGCCCCTATTATTATGGAATTCGTGAGAGTCATCAAGTCTTGTATACAACTTGGTTTTTGCAGCTTTTTGTCGAGATATGAGTATATTAAACATAATTATGAATTTAAAAGTGCTATTCGGCGGGTTCAGTTGTATGGGGGCTAGGTGAAATAATGGACCGATGTAAACTATTTTCAACAGGCTTCATCTACGGTACCATAAAAGATCATGTGCCAAATTTTATTGAATTATCTCCAAAATTGCGATCTGTAGTTTGATTACAAAGTTTAAAAGCCCTATTCGGGGGTTCAGTTGTATGGGGGCTAGGTGAAATAATGGACCGATGTTAAACATTTTCAACAGGCTTCGTCTACGATACCATAAAAGATCATGCGCCAAATTTTATTGAATTATCTCCAAAATTGCGACCTGTAGTTTGATTACAAGGATTACAAGCCCTATTGGGGGATGCAGTTGTATGGGGGCTAGGTGAAATAATGGACCGATCTTAACCATTTTCAATAGGCTTCGTCCCTGGGACAGTAGAAAATCATGTACCAAATTTCATTGAATTACCTTCAAAAGGTTTACATGGACGGACAGACGGACGGACATAGCTAAATCGAAAATGATTCTGAGCCGATTGGTATACTTTAAGGTGGGTATAAGACAAATATTATTGTGCGTTACAAACATCAGCACAAACCCAATATACCCTCCCCACTAAAGTGGTGTAGGGTATAATGAAGTTATGGTTCCTAATTGATCTAAAAAAGTGTTTTCTTACAAAACTAATTGTGGACTAAGTACTACATGTACTACAAGGCCAAAATTTTTGTATGTAAAGCTATCTAGAAAAGCATTTACAATAAGCACTTTCTAAAGAGTGTTCTGGTGCCGGCTGCCTATAAAACTTAACCTACCAAAAAGCCCAGAAATGCTTAAAAATTTTAGAAGATTTTTTAAAATTTAAATATTAAACTTTCACAAACCAAAATTTTGTCAACAGACGATCTTACCAAGGTAATTACCAGCACATTTTTTACGAAGTCATCCATTTAAACCCAATTAAATGTATTTAATAACAGTAGTCATTTAATTACGTCTAGGATTTTTAAAAGTAAAACTAGTTTGTTGTTTTAACCGTAGTTGATACTAAAAAGTAATTTACAATTGAATCTGAAAGTGAGAATATTAAATAACTGCAACAACAACAAAGAAACTAAAAGAAATAACTGAACCCATATTAAAACATTTATTAGATAAAAGCAGCAACAAAAGCAAAACAACAATTATCTAATATAAATTTCGAAAACAAAATTTGTACTGCGAATATAAACAAACAACAATTTACAACCCCTTCATAGATGGGGAATGCACACGAGTGCTCTTAAAGAATAAGAATAACTAAGTATTGGATGAAATGTATAGAAGTCGTTTTAAGAATACGACGATTCTTACAGGTATTCCCGGGCATTAGTTTGAATAAGCGTGTACAATTTGTTTACAGCTTTCTGGAAATTTATTTGTTTATTGTTTTTTATTATTATTTGAAATAATAGCAAATAGTTAGATTGAGTAATTGTGAGAATAATGAGAACTTGTATTTAAAGTTTGAATCAGATCGCTGGCAAATGTTTATTATTCTAAGATACTCGTAAAAGCTTTAGTGCTTTCTTACTCGATAGTTGTAATGTATACGCGTGCATTGAAAACTTGTTGCATTTCGTTTGTCATAGATTTAAAAATAATCGAATCGTTAGAATGTTAGTGAGTGCATTCACAAATACATCTATACAATTTCTCAGCACCCTTAATGTGAGTGTTGATAATCATAGATTAGAAAAGCTTGAAGGAATTAATTCGTTTAAATTATTTGTTAAAAAAAAAAAAAATGCTTTCTTTATGAGGGGTTTGATATACATATACCGATAAGCAGTTGTATTTGGGCTAGGGGTATTAATGGACCGATTTCAACCCTCAATTTTCATCTAATTATCTTGTTAATTGTGCGTGCACACATACCTCAATCGACTTAGAAAGTGATTATAGGTCGATTTGATCAATATTGTAAACAAAGAGGACACTAAAGTTACGATTATCTTCACCCTCGTTTACAAAGAGTATATACATACATATATACGTGACGAAAGACGAATTAGAGACAACCAGGTAGTTAGACGTTAGTGAAAATCACTGTCTTTTTCGGATGCATTGACCCTTTTTTGAACTGCTGGGTAAGGTATTATAGTTTTTCATAGTCTACTGTAAACTTAAAATTGAATTTCGAATCAAAATTCCAATAAAAAATTACTGGGATGAACTTAGAACGACCACAAGAAAAATCCAAAAATTGAATTTCGAAATATCGTCTATTCATATTCAAATGGGCAGTCATACGTTTATCAAGTCCGTTAACTCCACCATAATAAGATCGAAATATTAGCAGAGTTCTCGTACATTAAAGTATAATGAAAAAAAGAAGTTCATGTTTTCCTGGCAGAGAAATTCGATATGATCAGAGAATTTTAGATAAATCCCAAACGGAAAACAAAGGTGCCCTTCTATTGTCCTAGCAATTCGCTAGGGGATTGTTACCTTGATAAATCGCCCTTTCCTTGGAGTCATTCCTTGAAGTCTTTTGACCAAACATCCACATAATGTGGGACTACTGAGGTACACGTCATTTTATTTTGCATAAATTCGGTGCTTCTGTTCAAGAAGATCTCTCAGAGGAGTGATTGTGGGCCTAAATGGTTGGATTGAACTGATAACAAAAAAAAATGGGATGCAGAATGATTATGGGGTATGTGAAGCTCATGCCACCTGAAAACGCAAATTATTATTCATGTGTTAACGAAAAAATCCATTCTTTCTGTTCCGGCTATACTATGTTAACATTAGACTTACAGAACTGTGAACTCTGTGAGTAAGAAACTACATTCTTGGTTTGTTGATGGAGATCTTGCTTCGGTCTACCTTTCAAGGATCTGATCAAAAAAGGATTTTTTACCAAATCAACAGAAATGAATCCATCAGTATAGTTGTGGATTGTTGTCTAGAAATTATTATACCCTACAACACTATAGTGGGGAAGGTACTATGCGTTTGTGCTGTTGTTTGTAACACCCAAAAATATTGGTCACCCATTTTAAAGTATACTAATCGGCTCAGAATCACTTTCTAAGTCGATTAAGCTATGTCCGTCCGTCGGTGTGTCCATGTAAACTTGTGCGCACGCTACAGGTCACAATTTCGAGATAATTAGATGAAATTTGGCACATAATATTTTTTCGACCCATGGACGAAGCCTATTGAAAATGATTATAAACGGTACATTATTTTGCCTAGCCCCCATACAGCCGTACCCACCGAATAGGGCTTTTGAGCTCATAATTATATTTAGTGTTCTAGTATCACTACAAAAATCGTCAAAACTTTGTTTTAAATAAGTCTTAATGATAATGAATGCGGATTTTCGTAATGATCGGGCCTCATTTGACCCTATCCCCCATACAAAGTCCCCTTCAGAAAATGACTTAATGGTCCCTAGTAAAATTCAAACTAAAAATTTAACATATGCGAGGTGTCCTACTTTGCAGACCACTGAGTACGCCCCTGGTAGATCCATGAGGTCAAAATTCAAAACTTAAACTCTACAACACTTCGCAAACCGTTTCGAAGTTACAGAGTTATTTCCCTCTTTTTTATTTCGATACCACTGTACGTTCTACGATTGTGCTTGTAGTCCCCTAGGGGATTTTTGCCTTGATATTTGTCCCTTACCTTGGAGTCATTCCTTGAAGTTTTTTGACGAAAAACCCACATAATCAAATACTACTGGAGTACACGTGGTGACGTTGTTGTTAAATCCAACATTTTATTTCGGCATAACTTTGGTGCTTCCGTTCAACAAGATCTCTCAGAGAAGGGACTATGGGACTAAATGTTTCAAATGAGTTAATAACAAAAAGAATGGGCTACAAAACGATTCCGGGTATGTGAAGCTCACCTCTCCTGAAAACACAAATTAGTATGATGGATAGATTTTTATATATGACTGTGTATGATGATATTATGGGTTGAATGATAATGCTGACGATGTTCAGGCTTAACATTAGACTTACAGCACTGTGTACTATAGGAGTATGAAATTACCATGTGATCCTAGAATAACCAGAACATGATTTTTAAACATGATTATAGCGGATTAGTTCCAACATTTTATTACTAAACGATACCTCTCTAAATCTGATTGTAATTTTGCAGGAAATCTTTTTGGTATGGAGGGTATGAATGTTTTCATCCTCAGTTCAAATGCCAAACAAAATATAGAAGATATGTATGTTACTTTAAAAAGACTGAACTCCTTGAGACCACTGCATTTTCGCCGTGTTTTCATTTTTCATTTACATGTAAAAGTGAGAACGAATAGAATAGATTTCAATAGTTTCAACAACCAACCACTGCAATTTATGGGAAATAAAACAATAACAACAACAAAAACACAACAATTACAAAAAAAGTCGTTTAAAGCTTAGAACGAAAAAAATTGCCTGACTGACTTAGTTCTCAGTTCAGTGTTATTTGATAATTTGGCGCGACTGACCGAAAAAGAATTTCATGAGCTTCTCCGGTTGGGAAGAACAGTTCAATACTTTTAAGGAAGTAAATTTTTGTTAAACAAAAAATACTCGCCATAAAGTAATAGCTTTTTACGGTTACAAATAGAAGAAAAAATAATAAAACTTAAACGTCATAAGAGAAAACGTCATGATAACCAATTAAGAAAAAAAAAAAAGAAGTTTAGAAAACATGTGTTTGTTTAATAAAATTTTTTAAAATTAAAAAATAATATAAATATATTTTAATTGTTTATGAAAATGTATTTTAAATGTGGCAATTATAGGTAAATTAATTAATTAATTTAATTACAACAATACAATGCAGCTATAATAACAAATAATAGTAAAAAAAAACAAATAAAAATAATTAAAAAAGCTTTAATTACAACTCGTGTCTTTGGTTATTTGTATTTAAAATTTTTAAAGAAATCTAGGGAAATACAAAATATTATATAATTAAATAAAATATAAAATAAATTATTAATAAAAATATCAAAATTCAGAGAAAAAGTGCAACAAGTGTAATTCTAATAAAGCTTTTATATTACAACAACAACAAAAATATTGTTAATTAAAAACAACTACAACCAATTAAATAAAATAAAAGTGCAGCGCTATGGCGTATCAAATGTCTACTTTGCAAAAAAAAAAAAAATAATAATAAAATATTAAATAAAATAAAATAAAATGAAACTGTAAAAAGTGACACAATAATTGTCACAATTTTTATGCTTCATTGTCAAAGTCGTTTATTGTCGTCAAAAATACTTTGAAAACGTCATCAAAATATTATTAAATAAGAAAAAAAAATTATTTAAAAACAAAATCTCTTATCAAATGTTTATTATGACATAAAAGTGCAATAAATTATTAAATACTATTTACTCATAGTATTCATTTTAAGCTTGTAAACAATTGAAAATAAATTAATAACATTTAATAATGGAGTAATAAGTTAGTTTTCTCTTTCTTTCTCTCTTCTAATCAAATGTATTTTCTTATGAAAATAATATTGGATTATTTAAGAATTAATTGTGAAAATTTTCCAATAATAATTTTAAATGTAAAACAGTAAAAGGTTTTATTTGTGGGCCGCATTGTGTATATTAAATAATTAATACTAAATGTGGAAAAAGTAGAAAATAACGACATATGCTAAAGCTATATTAAAAGGCCTACATCTGCTTTAATTACGGGAATTTTCTTGTTCACATCAAAATACTTAGGTTTATAGGGGGATGTATGTATATTACACCAATTCCGAAGAAATACACCTAGGCCACTATCGGGCCTGTTGTGAGCTCTTTTTCATGGAAGAAAAATTTTTGTTGGTAAAAAAAAACATTGTGTTAATTGAATGTTTTATCTTTCAATGTCTAGAAACTCAGTTTTCAGGACGTAATTCATAATAATTTTCAATTCAGTGTACGTGAATAATCTTATATCACTTCCAAGATATTTGGATCTAACTTCTATGAATGCCTTACAATGGCAGAGAAATTGCTCCAGAGTTTCACTGTCCTCTTGTAGAAGAGCTTTACAAGAGCACAGACTAATCTATCTTGGTAGAGCTCTTTTCCATAATCTGGACTGTCTCAGAGATGCGTCACTAGTAAACATGATCGGGTTTATTAGAAGCACCGGCTGGTTTTCACGGAAACCGAACGAACCAAGTATTCAACGAAATTAGGGAGAGAAACCATTCTCTCAATAGTAGGGAATGGCAAAAATTAGCGAGCAACCAACGTAATCTAACCTTCACTGTCCTCTTCATATGCTCTACATTCGTCTGAACACGCACGTCCAATTTTGTATAGCTGTGCCCGTCATCCTAACCTCAGACTTGTTCATTAAGCTCACCCCATAGAATCTTTGTGGTTCTATCCACCGTTTAATTATTCCAAGAGGCCTTATGCGTTTCTCTCACTCATATTTTTAATTCAGCCTTCGTTGCGTCGAATGGTTTTGCGTTCGTCAGGTTAACTACCTCGAACTCCCTTCCCTTCCGAGTCGCCTGGTATCCATATGATGTTAACTTTACCCCTGGTAGAGTATTTAGTAAAAGCTTTCTTATAATCTAATACGGCCTTTATCTCTTAATATTGCCCTAATTGCTTTTTGGTTGTACGTTAATATGTTAAGCCCTTTTGGCTCCGTATTTATTCCAATCCAATTGGAGACAAAATAAACCAAAATGAAAGTGATTCCATTTTTTGGATAGATATCATATCAAGTATAACAATAATCCGTTTTTGAAATTTTCCAAACACGCCCAAAGTCTTGCTATAGTAACCAGTAAATATTCAGCTATACCCACTGTCAAATTATATACCATTTAAATAAAGAAAATTTCGGAAGAGGTTTAATGAGCATCAGATTGATTTTCGAAATAGGGCTGTAGAGTTAATTATGCAACGCTCCTTAAAAAACATGAAAAAGTGATTTTTCGCTAAGTTTTTGCAGTGATTCACTAAATAACTTTAAGATAAGCTTGATCTCTAGCCTCACTAAATGGCTTTAGACACTCTGTACTATCGTATGTGAAATGAATAATTGCCAAAGTACTTTACGTGAACACCTGCCGTATTGGCCTTTTCTTATAGTGGTCTTTTGCAACCACTTCTTTGACGATTAACTACCGCCCCTGGTGTATCTTACACGTAGGTGGCAATATTTCTACATGGTTATACCGGTTTATGTACAAGCACTTTGCTCAAGTATTCGAGCTATCTAATCTCTTTCCATAGTATCCCCGTTGAGGAATGACTGATATCATGAGTCAAGTCCAATCAAACCCCGACAAAGGAAAACGCAATCGCTAGTTAGAGCCGATAGGTGAAAACACCCTATCGACGCTATGAGGGATGCCCTGTCCTTATCCTCATTTTTATCATCTAAAGACTCACCCCAGTGCATTCCTGAACCTCTTAAATTCGCCTAATCACACTACTGAGGTAGTTCTGTTGTTTCGGCAACAGCACCCAGGGACGAATTGGTAGTTCGAAACATAGATCTACATTTAATTAGTCAGACTTATTTCAGTGGTCACAAGGACTTACTATGATAAGTTAAGCATGTTTTAGAGTAAACTCCAATACACTCAACCATGAAGGAAAATCGCACTTAATAAAAGATTAAGGTATTAACAATTATGCCAACGTCTTAACCAAATCTTCCACTACTTCAACCGTCATTCCGACATCTCTACAAATACAACTCAGAATCCCTATCGTCCACCATATACAAGAATCCGATTATATATCGCACACCAACGCATAACCAATTTTTGCATTATCAGCTCAAATATTAAATTTTATTAATCCACAGACTTGCTCCTAGAAACTAAGAGCGGTAACAGTAAATTATTCCGAAAATTTATATTTCACCGTGTATCAATCTTTTAATCAAGCATCCTTTCCCGCGAATTTGGGTTTAAACTGCAGACACTACGTTGGATGCCGAAGGAACCTTAACAAACACCTAGTCACCCATGTCAAATCATTCCAAGAAAGAGCCGATGAAACATTTGATCATCACCAGTTTATAGTGGTAACGGAAACCTATTCCGAAAATTTAAATTTCACCGTGTATCAATCTTTTAACCAAGCACCCCTTATCGTAAACTTGAGTTTAAACCTCAGCCACTACGTGAATCCCGAAGGAACCTTAACAAACTGCCCAGACAGGACAAGGTCCTGCGGGCACCTGGTCACCCATGGTACCAGATTATGCAGTGCCCTGGTTCGATTCCATGTCAAATCATTCCAAGGAAAACACGAGGATACATTTGATCATCAGTTTATAGTCCCGGCAGACTAGACGCACTAGAAGAATCTCTTTACCCCGATATTGCCATACACCAAGTTGGTGTCATTCATCAAGGAAACATGCCCCGAACTCCGCATTGAAGCCTTGAACTTAGTTTTATATGTATGTTTCGTTATTCAATTAGTATTTTTTGATTATTCTGCGATATTGAACCTAGAAACATAGTTGGTGTCATTCATCAAGTAAACATGCCCGAACTCCACATTGCAGCCCTGAACTTAGTTTTATATGTATGTTTCGTTATTCAATTAGTATTTTTTGATTATTCTGCGATATTGAACCTAGAAACATATAACTTTGTAAACTTTTTGAATCATTTATAAAATTTTACTTAGAATAATATAAAACATAGAAACATAAAATTAAACACGCAGCATCTTGATGAAGTCAATAAAATACCACTCTCTGATACTTTTCAGACTTATGAAATGAAAAAATGGGACTTTTAGGAACATTCTGCATTTAAAATATATTACATATATGTACATATATAATTAATATTTATTTGATTTAGTATTTTATTTAATTACGATGAGGGTAGCTAGTAGTATATAATATTTTATTGTAATATTGAAATCATTAAAAATATTATGAAATTAATCGTATAATTTATTGAATTTCATCATTTATTCCTATGTGTTAGTACGTTGTCAATATAAAAGTATATTAAATTTTATTCCATTGTCTTGTTCCGAATGACTGTTAAATTCAAATAAAATGACATAGCTGTCTAAAAATTTGACATTAATTGTTATAGGTTATGATCAACTAGTGTTGACAAGGTACTTAGCACACGGCCCTCGTAGTAAATTATAATTATTTTTCTATTATTAAAATTAAATCAAAACAAGTAAGAAATTATAATAGGGCGAGGCCGACCATATAATACCCTACACCTTTGACAAAAATATAATGTGATTTAGCATTTAAGTTGAATTGTACCTTGCCTTAGATATACATACTTAAGCTGTTTATTGTTGAATAAAATTGTGGACATTTAAGTGAAATTTTGATGGGGGCTTTTCATAGGCGCTAGGGTCATATGAGAACCTATTATTATTCGTGAGGGTCATAAAATCTTGTATACAACTTGGTTTTTGCAGCTTTTTGTAGAGATATGAGTATATTAAACATAATTATGAAATTAAAAGCCCTATTCGGCGGGTTCAGTTGTATGGGGGCTAGGTGAAATAATGGACAGATGTAAACCATTTTCAACAGGCTTTATCTACGGTACCATAAAAGATCATTCATTGAATTATCTCCAAAATTGCGACCTGTAGTTTGATTACAAGGATTACAAGCCCTATTGGAGGGTTCAGTTGTATGGGGGCTAGGTGAAATAATGGACCGATCTTAACCATTTTCAATAGGCTTCGTCCCTGGGACAATAGAAGATCATGTACCAAATTTCTTTGAATTATCTTCAAAATTGCGACATGTAGTTTGATTACAA